CGAATCGGAAAAGTTCTCGGAATATTTTCTATATGATAGGAAGTAATACTGCCACTAATAAGTTGTTCATTTGAGTATAAAAAAATGATCAGAATAGGTAAAACAGATTTAATCATGCAGCGTTTGTAGAGCTTTTCACGGCGCATCTTTTGAAAAAAAAATTCAAAGTTTTATCATTAAATCTAAGGCGAAATGTGTGCTACATAAAAAAATATTACAACATTATGGACACCCAGTTGTTCAAAAGAAAAAAAATGTCCTTTTTTATTCAATACACTTTTTACATTTTAAACTTCATTTAATGTTCAAAGTAAATATACCATAAGATACAGCAAGTTCTAGGCTTTCTCCCTATATATAGTAGGTCGATAGATAGAAACGTATAGTAATAAAAAAAACAAAAAAATCAAAGGGTATAATTTCAATTGTACTCGACTGTAAATATCAAATAAATTGTTTTTATTTTAGAGTAACTGATGATAAAAATATCTTATCAACAACAGAAGTACCGAAGAGTATTTTAAATCCTGGAACGATTTATTCAAAAGAACATTGGCTTCGAAAAACTTCATCAGATGAATCTGAATCTATTCCTTTAGATTTAGATTCATATATTCAACAGACAACTGAGAAAATGCGTCGTCTTCATATGGAATACGTCGAAGCACTTGAGAAATTAAAAACACCATCAAATCCAGTAGATTCTTCAAAAACACTTAAAACCATGTATCCACAAATGTTTGATCGAATTAAGCAAGAGATGCCAACTAAGAACCCCACCTAGCTTCCTCCCTCAAATAAATAACCTTTTTTTTCTATATCAATAAACTAACTACACCAAAAAAAAATCTGGAATCTATTACTCTATTTGAGTATCAGAAGATCATTGATGATTAGTAACAGTAAAATTATTCTCAAAATAAAAGTTGATTGTTCAATTGTGAGAGAATTATATGAAAATAATCTATATAAGAATTTTTTTTTATGAGATTCATCAAATTTTTTAAAACATTCAAGTTTATATGAAAATTCATTAAAAATAGTTTTAAATTGATTATTTTATTAGAATATATCGAAGACTTTTTTTTTTGTTAATAATTATTTTCAATATTCCATGTCGATTCTTCAAAAACACAAGTTACATGTGTGGTTTGTTCCATTTCTTGTTGAACAATGAGTATTTTACAAGAACATAGGAGAATTTGATGCACAATAAAAAAAAAATAAGCCTATACAAATAAGTTGAAATATCAAAAAAGTCAGACCCAAACACAGTTCTAAAATCAAATTAATAAAGAGAGTTTTGTAACAATTGAATTCATCTGTACAAGTCCGAGTTACTTGGTTATTTTTCACATACAAAAATAATTTTCATTTAAGGGCACTTCGACCTTGTTCTAGATTTCTCAAGAACGTTTCGACCAAAAATTCTGAAACTTTCAGGGCATTGATAAATTCCGACTAGTACAGTAAAACTTGTCGTAGACTCAGAATTCTCCGATGTTTTCTTTCATGAGATATAAGAGACGCAAGAGTCAAAAGGACCTGATATCTCCCTCACAACCAGCCATAATTCATTTTTTATGGCTAGATATTTTCCGTAATAATTAGGACCAAATTGAGATGTATCGTTTTTTTCTTCTTTAAAAAATATTGTTTTATTCAGTTAGGAGAATCAAAATATATGAAGCCCTATCAAAAAACATGTTTTTTTTGCTTACGGCAAATTTTCCAAAATTTGTCAAAAATTACCAAAACATTATTTTAATAAAATGTACATCCGATTTGATCCTATCTGTCACACAGAAAATTTCAGCTTAATCGATCCGAAGCGATTGGAAGAAAATAGGGAAACACCGTTCATTTTTCTCTTCAAAAATTGATTTTGAGAAAAACATAAAACAATCTACAGTTTTTGCTAATTTGGTTTTTTTAATGTTTCAAAACAATTTTTGGATCTGAAAATGCACTTAATAGATATATAAAACTTCAGATTATACAATGACTACAAAAAAAAAATCAAAAAATGCAAAAAAAAAGACGAATATTTTAGATCATGAAAGGGAAAAGAATGCCATTAATTTTATTATTAAGACTATTTCAGAATGTAGATATCGTTGGTATTCATCTTGTTACTTGTATCAATATTGATCGAATATTTCGAAACCAATGAAGATTAGTTGCTAAACATCAAACAATTTTCGAGGTTCATCTTCAATCAAATTCGTTTGTTTATCTGAAATTTAAAATATTCTGTTCGAAAAACAAAGATAGCTTGTTTTTTTGGTCGAAATAAAACATCTTACCTTTGTATTTAGAATAGTTATTTGAGACCTATAACCAATCATTGCATTTTTGTGTGATTACTTTTATATAATTTAATCCATGATGAATAATATTTTCAGATTCTGTAAGACAAATATCCAAATCAGCAATTGAAAGAATATGTTTAATGATATATTTTAAAATAATTTGACGAGCTTATAAAGTTCATATTTAGATTAATTGAGTTGGATCTATTTGAGTACATTGTATAGCATTGATTATCTCATGAACATATTATCTAGTCTCTTGTAAGATATTTAATAGACGACAATCAAAATTAGTATTAATATAAATGACTATCAATATCTATAGTTGATGTAAAAGCATATGAAAAGTCTGTTAGTTTTTCTTCAACAGATTTACTTGTGATCAAGAGTTTAAGACTTGTATCAAATTGAATATATCAAAAATTTCTACCACAAGTCCTTATTGGTTCTGTAGCCTCTTCGATAGGATTAAGATTAACAAATACTTATTTAGGAAATAGAAAGATAAATTTAAGAAGAAAAACATAAAGAAAATGGCATTAAGTCTTCAATACATAACTGTCTTCCATCAATAAAACCCGTTTGTCGAAAAATTCGTTTTAATCAGAACTCAATGTTTATGATATTGTAAAATGAATTTAAGAAAATCAATAATAAAAAGAACTTATGAAACAGTACTAATTAATAATCATCAATATCTAACATTCTGAGCAAATAACAATAGAATATGATAAATTTTCAATTAATAAAGTAATTGTCAAAAATAAATCTTCGAAATTTGTTGGATCAGCTGATTGATGACAACGTGTTTTATGATTTATATCGATTTTATTAGTTATATTAATGTTCACTATGGAAAGCAGAGAATTAAATGAAGACTGATTACATCTTATTGTATTGATATCATTTTTTTTTCTGATCAACACTCACTAAATCAATTAACTTTATTTTCTTGTTTACAAATTTCAGACCAATAAGATGTGCGATTACTGCGAACGAATATTGAAAATAAATTGTTTTAAAAGAGTTTTAGAAAAATGAATTTATTTTACTAAGCATGCTGCAATTTGTAGAGGTCATTACTTTTTTTTGAAAATAAAGACTTTTTAATATTCCGATAGTTACTGCAA